TTCACCATCAGCACCTGTAGAATCACCACTGCTACCATCATCATCATTATCAACACCATTAGCACCAAGATCGTCATTATCACCATCATCATCAGCGCCATCGAGACCACAATAATCATCATCACCATCACCACTAAATGATCATCATCACCATCACCCCTATGACTCTCATCACCAACATCATAATCACTACCAAAGCCATCACCACCTCGATCGTAATCAAAACGACCATAATCACCACCACAATCATCATCATCATCACCACAACCTTCACCAGTATCAGTATCATCACGATCACCACCAATATAACCACTAATGCCAACATCAACACCATCATGTCATCAACAACACGAAGATCATCATAATCACCACCATCATCACTTCCAACATTAGCAGCATTACAATTTCCAACATTTTGACCACCATCTTCTCAATGAGCGCGTTAATCACCATGATCATAATCACCATCATTATCACTATCACCACCATAATCACCAACATGATTATCTTTAAAGACAAAGATCCCCCGTATAGCCTTAACAAACTGTTGGGGCAAATGCTGTTCGTGAGCACCTATGAAGGCCGCAACGGCACACGAGGGGGTGGGTGGCCAGCACCACGCCTTGCCGCCTTTGTCTCCCCAGTGGCGAAGTTACACACTGCACCAGGTACTCATTTGAGGCTGAGTCGACCTAGGGGAAGCCCAGGACCGGTTAAGATAATCCACAATGGTTAAACCCAGGATGAATCGTAGGCCGGATAACATGAGTGTTTCAAACCGGCGCAGATGTTCCTTTAGAGGGCTCCGTATCTTTCAAGCGTAGAGAAGGGGGGGGCATGACTGTGGCTGAGAAGACCCGGAACTTTGTATGGCGCGACAGGCCAGGTAGCTTCCACGCATCGTTACGCAGCTGATGAAAACACAGTGCCGCTCGACTGATTCAGAGTGAGACCACCACAACAACACACAAAGACCCCCCCCCACCCCGTATAACCTACACACACTGTTGGGGCAAGTACTGTTAGCGAGCACCTCTAAGGCCGGCACTCTGGCACACGAGGGGGTGGGTGGCCAACACCACGCCTGGCCGCCTTTGTCTCCCTAGTGGCGATGTTCAGACACCACACCAGGTACTCATTTGAGGCTGAGTCGACCTAGGTGAGAGGCCCATGACTGGTTTAAAACATGTGAGGGAAGGTCAGATTTATTTTACTTAGATGTTTGCTGTAAAGTGCACAATTCATTGAAGAAAATTACACACACTTTGAAACTTGTTTTTATTCGAATTTTTAAGACTTATTCTCGATATTCCAAAATTTTGCTGAAAATGAGCCTTTAGAGTCGGTGTGACTTCCCAGGGTAAATAAGTCCTCTTTAAAAGATGTTTATGTAAAGCAATGCAAACACGGACAGTTCACCACTAACTGCATTGCAAAATGTCAACATTCTTACAAACCGGTCGAGTGAGGCTATTTTACGTGTGTACTGAGTCATTCAGAGACACTACGAATAAAAGGCACTCTATTTAGTACAGCCTTCACAGGTAAAGGGAGTAACGACACAATGGTCACGACAGTTAACAGGCTGCCTGATCCCCTTCTTTGCCAGCAACCAGCGCTACGGGCCATAGTGACCCATTCCATGTCACGACACGTGCTTAATCATGTGTCTGTGTGCGTGGATCTGTGTGGTGGTGGAGAACGGTAGTACTCGTTGGTTCTATTCGATAAAAAATAAAAAATAAATAAAAATAAAACAACAAAAATCACGACGTTTCGGCCACAACACAAGTAGCCTTCATCAGGTGAAGAAACAGGACTGTCCCGAAGACAGCGCTGGAGTGGACACTGCCAAGCATGGGCCGCGTCTTTTAAGCTGTGTGGGAGGAACAGAGCGCCTTGACAAAGGAGTTAACATATGAATTAGCATGTAACTGGGGGATTGGCATGATGTTGGTGTGAGGGATTAGGAGCAGTTTACATATCAACAGTAAGTAAGCATGTAACTGGGGGATTAGCATGATAATTGGTTTTTTACCCTTTTATCTGGCAACACAACTGACACCTTTTTTACATGGAATCGTGTTTACATTGACCACAATACCTGCGGTCGAAACGCAAACAAAAAACAACAACTCTGAAAATGTATGCACTGTCCTTGAAGTTGATTGGTCCACACCCGAGACAGCTTTCTTTAGAGCCTCGTCTCACATGGTGTTGGACCAGAAGACGCCAAAAGGCGCACAACTCAAAGGCAATGCACCATCAGAGTATGAGAGCTCGGGGTTAAGCATTTACACCATTGGAAACCTCATTTGCCAGTAACAAAATATGATAATTGGTTTTTTACCCTTTTATCTGGCAACAAAACTGACACCTTTTTTACAAGGAATCATGTTTACATTGACCACAATACCTGCGGTCGGAACGCAAACAAAAACAACAACTCTGATAATGTATGCACTGTCCTTGAAGTTGAAAGAAAGCTGTCTCGGGTGTGGACCAATCAATTCTCCGTGGCGCTAATCCCTCATACTAACATCATGCTAATCCCCCAGTTACATGCTTACTTACTGTTGATATGTAAACTGCTGCTAATCCCTCACACCATCATGCTAGTCCCCCAGTTACATGCTCGTCGCTCTCCGTGGTGCTAATCCCTCACACCAACATCATGCCAATCCCCCAGTTACATGCTAATTCATATGTTAACTCCTTTGTCAAGGCGCTCTGTTCCTCCCACACAGCTTAAAATACGCGGCCCATGCTTGCCAGTGTCCACTCAAGCGCTGTCTTCTGGACAGTCCTGTTTCTTCACCTGATGAAGGGTACTTGTGTTGTGGCCGAAACGTCGTGATTTTTGTTGTTTTATTTTTACCTACGTGACTGTACCGAATAGAACCAAAGAGTATGGATCCTTGCAGTCACGAAAGCCTCAAATCGAGAATGGTAGTGTAGCGGTTAGCGCCGACGATCCGAGTTCGATTGCCGCTCACGGCCAACAACACCCAGTGACGATTATCTAAATCGGTCCTGGGCCTGCTCTAGGTCGACTCAGCCTCAAATGAATACCTGGTTCGATGTGTAAACATCGCCACTAGGGAGACAAAGGCGGTCGGGCGTGATGCTGGCCACCCACCTCCTAATGTTCCGTACAGTAGTGGCCTTAATAGGTGCGCGCTAACAGCACTTGCTCCCAGTCTGTTTCAGGCTATAATGGGGGAGCTTTGAATGTGTTCCAGAACACACACACACACATATATAGTCATCTCCTTCAAACCATGTACATGGGTCTGTCCAGTGACCTCCTTGCCACTGAACCTTCGACACTTCACGTGACACTCAATGTGCACCTATCCTGGCACAAGCCATGCACAAGCCAGGCGAGGTGCTAATGAGGCAATGTTGTCCGTGTGTTATAGCCGTGGGCGCCACGGTGGCCAGGAGATATTAACTACCTCGCCTGGTATACAGAAAGTCGTGGGCTCGATGCCGACCCTGAAGCCTGCTGTATATTTGGAGTTTGTATTTCTCTCTCCCAGTGGTCGCGTGGATTTTTCTGCGGGCCTTCCGGTTCTCCCCTCCGCGTTTCATGAACGCGTTTACAGCATTCAGCTACCGCTGTGAATGTCAACACGACGATAAGGGGCCGTCCATAATGACGTCACGCACCTGGGGGGGGGGGGGGTCAGACATTTGTGACGATGTGTGACAAGGGTGGGGGGGGTTTGAGAAATATGACGTCACATCAAAATGCGCAACTTTAAATATAGATGACACGTTCTACTTAATTATACTTTTTATGTTTTCTCCTACAACATCAGAGTGTAGCGCCACGTTAAATACGCACTACAATGACAATAGTTTAAAGAGATTTGAAGCATGTTTAATTATTTGGGGAGGGGGGGGGGGGCAGAGCTTTGTGACGTCATATTTGAGGGGGGTCTGACTTTTTGTGACGCCGTGTGACGAAGGGGGGGAGGGGGTCAAAAATCGTCCAAAATTGCGTGACGTCATTTATGGACGGCCCCCTAAGCCACTTCGTTGAGCTATCATTTGTGGCCAGGTCTCGTCTGAAAAAGATCTACATAACTCAGTGGGCCTTACCCGGTAGGAGTGTGGTTTGTGTGTTACAGCAGATGTGGAAGCTGCGTACGAGTACGGTCGTGTTTTGAGCAATGCACTCATGGTGTCGTTTTCATTCTACACTTTTCAACAGTTCGCTATTCCATCATTTGCACTTTAAGGTCCCAAAGATATAACTGCTCGACCCGAGCTATGCGTGATCTGATTCGTTTGTAACTGTTCGCCTTTTGGCATTCTCTTGTCTAAGACTTGTGGTGAGACAAGGCCATGCAGAATGCTGTCTCTGGTGTAGGCCAGTCATTTTCACAGACAATGCTTATATTATCAGAGCATGCTTGTTTGCATGTTTCCCACATGTATGTGTGGTGAATGCAGACGATGATACCTTACAAAAGGTTTATATTTGGTGTATGAACATCTTAAAACAACTCCTATTCTATTGCCAGAAATGGTAACAACCGATTATTACTCTGGTTCTTTCGGTAAAGTCACGTAGGTATAAAATAAAATAAATTATTTTAAAATTATTATAAAATAAAATATAAAATAAAATAAATTATTTTATACCTAAAATAAATTATATTATACCTACGTGACTTTACCGAAAGAACCAAAGAAGAGTATGGATCCCTGCAGTCACGAAAACTGGCAACAAAAAGAAAGCTGTCTCTGGTGTGGACCAATCACTTTCAGGGACAATGCATGTACAGTACTACCAGAGTATGTTTTTTTGGTTTGCATTCTGACCACAAGCATTGCGGTTAATGCAGACATGATTTCTTGTAAAAGGTTTCAGTTTGGTGTTTTAACATCTTAACACAGCTGTTTTGTTGCCAGAAAATAAGGTGGAAAAACCTATTATCAAGCTATTCTGATTTTTCATATTTTTTTGAAAATGACACAAAAAGGTCCCCTAAGAGATCTAAGATCTGTATTTAAAGGCGAAGTTTAGACGGACAGTAACATCCATTCAGTGTAACCTCATCTCAAATGAATGCGGACCCTCGGAGTTCTTTCGATACAGAGGCAAGAGAGGAAGTGGCACTTCCTCATCTTCCTCAGTCCGACCTGGCAGCGCTGGTGGCTGTGCGATTACACCCCCCCCCCATCTCTCTCTCGTGTGCGATGGCTGCTGCATCGAGTGAAGAAAGGGACCTGTCGTGCTCCATCTGTCTCGAGTTGTTCAACATGCCCGTGGGTTTACCCTGCGGCCACACGTTCTGCAAGGCGTGCGTGGAGCGTCACTTTGCGGCGCAATGGGAAGAGGTTGGCTTCACCTGCCCGGAGTGCCGCGAGGTTTTCTACCGCAAGCCGAGGCTCAACAAGAACGTCTTCATAGCTAGCGTCGTGCACAAGTTCAAGGAGGCGAACGTGGGCAGGAGGTGCGACCGGCATGGCCACGGCCTCGACCTCTACTGCAGGACCGACGCGCGGTTGATGTGCGTGGAGTGCACGGACGCGCACGAAAAGCATGACCTCGTCTCCGTGCGGAAGGAGCGCGCACACAAGGGGGTGAGTGGCAGCACCGCTGGTCCAATCGAGCAGCGACTCGAGGTTCACGCGAGCTGGTGGGAGACGTTTGGGCGGGGGGGGCGTCTCTTTTGCACGCGCCATAATCACCCTCAACTCTGGGTCCAACATTTACCTGTTGAGGTGGAATTACACGGGGGAGGTAGGGGACGAGGATTGATGGGGGTAGGCGCAGTGGCTCTGTGAAGTTGATCATTCGGATATGTTCAGGGTGAAGCTGGAACGCGAGACGACCCTGGCAGATGGTTAGTGGCAGAGACCATGTGTACTTTTTAAAGATTTTAAACTGTAGGCAGTATATGTAAATACATATATTTTTGGTATCTCGTTGTTTAGAATGTCCGCATTTTTTACGTTGATTATTAAATGTGATAATGGCGCTTTGAGTGGCAGATTTGTGTGAGGAAAGCGCCACCACGTGTGTAAGTTGTGTTCTGTGTTGCACCACACGCACGGGGGTATAGTTTATTAAGCGGCGGTGGTCGTGGAGGAGTAATGAGTAAGTAATGGGAGACAAACATGCCCGATCAACATAGCAGATGCATAAAAATAGAATACATCACACAGCTAATAGGGTCATGAGGAACACTGGGTGGCTACATCTATAGGAATTTAAGAGGGGGCCCCCGTGCTCCTCCCCCCGGACAGGGCTACTGCTGCTGTGTGTAGAGGTCTCTGGGTGTTGTGGGCCGGGTTCCGGGATGCGTTTTAGCTGCTTTCTGGTGTACGTAGTTTTTTCTTAAATACGCCCTTTTATAACTTTATATTACTGAACTATATAGCTCTTTTTCAGAAGCGACTTGGCCGTTACAAATGGATAGCTCGGCCAAGTCGCTTAGCACGATGTGGAAAAGTAATAGCAGCAGCCAAATATTCTTTAGCCCATTTTTCTAGTGTGGAGGGGAAAACCCAGAGGACCCTGATAAAACTCCAAGCAACCATGTGGAGAGAAGACTCAGAAAACCCCACATATACAGCAAGCGTCAGGGTCGGGATCGGAATCGGAATCGAACCCACGATCTCCTGTATACCAGGCGAGGTAGTTAACATCTCCTTGCCACCGTGGCGAGATGATGATGAACTCACAATCTGCTTGTTGTCGCTCTGGCGAGCTGAGTAAACGGACCGAACTGATAAAACGTGTAAAAAAACAACAGCGCAAAGGTGACTTGAATTTTCCGTAAGAGTAACAGCCATACAGTCTCAGCGGGGCATATTGTGTGAAAGGTGATTCAGCACGTAGCAGTAGCGGCTTTCGCGACCAATGTTATCCATAGAGGTTTTTTATTATTTTGTTTTGTTAAATATAAATGTGTCGTTAAATCCGCCACGATCACCCGACACAGCCAATCAGTAAGGTTTGTCACGTAAACAAAACGTGCCAATTCGTTACTAGTTCAGCACTAACTGCTTGTGTGTTGGAGAGTAAACCCACTGCAACATTTACAATCCAGTACCCGTGTGACGTTTCGCCAGTAATTACAACTCGGCCTCATCAGGCGACAGCCAGAGTTGTGGATAAATCCTCCTCTTGTTTCGGTGTTAAATAGAGGTGGGTAAATGTGATGTCGTCACTCAGAAAATCAAGTGTGTAGACCAGAGGGGGTGGTGGGTTAACTGTGATCAGCCAATAACAGGTATTGTGATTTAAAGCCAGTTGCGGGAGATATCTGCGATCATTAAAGTTCTGCCCCACTCATCAAAGTACATGCGGACTATGACGAAGCCGTCCCGTGATCGAACTCACGACTTCCTCCATTCCCGCTGGTGGGAGCTGGAACTCGATGTAGAATAAAACTTTTAGCGTGAATCTTCGTCTGTCAGCGCCAAACTCACACTCGGTGACACATCGCTACTCTGCAAGCCTCGTCATCCATGGTCGATTGCGGAGCCCACCCCCGGAGCTTGCCGCAGCAAGACTGATGTGCGTGGTTTCTGCTCGTCGTTATATTTGAAAATCTTCCACCTCGGCTCGTCTCCTCACAAGGGACCGCAATTCCCAATATTTGCTCTCAGCCTATGGGAACAGCTGTTCAGTTGCCCCTCAGAGTAGAGCGACTGGTTTTACGACCTTCCACAATTATTAATCTGAAAGGGTGCGGGTCCTTTTAGCCTTTGTCCAGCTGTGTCCCCCCCCCTCTTCCCTCATGGTTCGGGGTGTTACATTTTCTTGTTGTCTCTCTGGCCGTTGAAGTCGTTGGGGTTTCCCCAGAATCTCATTAGCCCCCCCCCCCTTGCACCGGGTTTTTTATAAGTACATTTTATGACTACTTCCACCAGCTGCCTTTTGTGTGGCAAGGCAGGAGGCAAGGGGGGGGGATGCCTTTTCGCATCTCCGCACTACACCCCGATCAATTATTACAACAAAATATTGGCAGAATCACTCTTAATATACATTTTTGGAAAAGGGCATATATACAACACTTCGTCTGACTTCACAGCCGTTGAGATCTTAACATCTTCTGCTGCCTGCTCTGCCCTTGAGAACGAGAGTGATGTTTAAACAATCGAGTAATCAAGAAAGGTTCGGTTGAATTTTGAGCGGGAGCTGATCTGGTGCCATTGCAGGGGCAGCTGAGCTCAGTTAAAGATCGACTGAGTGAGAGAGAGGGAACAGCAACCTCGTTCGTGAGCAGCCTCGAGGACTCGACCGGCAGAGTGGAGGTGCGTAGGTCACCGTGCAACTCACAAATAAACCCCCAAAACTTTATTAAGAAAAACATTGCCGGTGAAAGTCTGCTACGTGTTAAATTAAACCCACGTAGTCTCATATTCTTAGTTTTTTCGGTAAAGTCACGTTGAAAGGAAACAACTAAATAATAATATATATAAAACAATAAAAAATTCTCACGACGTTTCGACCATAACTCAAACGGTCATCTTCAGGTGTGTTGGTTTGCATAAATTTATTTTTAAACGTCGCATTTATTTATTTATAAAAAACGTTAGCGGCACGCGCAACGATTTGGCAGTTTATTTAGGACTAGTCCATCTATATTCTGAAAAGAGGAGGGGGGAGACGAAATTTTTTATAATGTATGCTGTCTGAAAGCCACTGTAAGCGTGAACAATCAATTAAGACCTGAAATGGTTTATCAAATCTTTCCAATGATTGCTAAGATAGAATCCATCTTCTCGGTTGAAATTGTCTCTGTGCTTGTATATGTGGATAGCCTCATGAACGAATCTCTCATGGAAGCTAGATGGCTTACAAAGAACCTCTGTCTTGGAAAAGTCAATGGCATGTGAGCCTACTGAATTATAACAATGATCTGCAACGGCCGAGGTGTTGGTCCTACCGTGTTTAAGGTCTGCTTTGTGTTCACGAATGCGGTCCGAGACATGGCGTTTGGTTTCTCCAATGTAACTACTACCACAGAGGCAACTTAGTTTGTAGACACCAGGGTATTATATGTCCGGAATCACATCTTTTACAGACGGAACCAGATCACGGATTTTATGTAATGTGTTGAAACGGACCTGAATCTTGTGTTTATTCAAGATTTTGGAGACCTTTTTTTGTGATCCCTGCAATGTAGGGTAAAGTGATGGTTTTGAAAGGCTCCTCAAGAGGGTTCTTCTTCATGGTTTGAGTGATAGCTTTGCGGATTGTATAGTCGGAGTAACCATTAGCCCTAAGAGCTTGGTGTATGTGCTTGAGTTCACTGCTTATGTGTTCCTGGTCGGATATGCATTGGGCTCTATGATACAGAGTCTTGATGAGATAATTCTTCTGTGATGGATGGTGGTGGGAATCCGGTTTCAGATAAGCATCCGTATGGGTAGCTTTCCTGTAGACAGAGTGGATCATTGAACCATCAGGTCTCTTTTTAATTAGGACATCCAAAAAAGGTATCTTGCCATCTATTTCGACTTCCATGGTAAATCTGATGGCTGGGTGTATGGAATTGATGTGGTCGAAGAATTGGTCTAGAGCAGGCCGGCCATGTGGCCAGATGACAAAAGTGTCATCCACGTACCTCTTCCATAAGGTTGGGCGCAGAGTGGCAGTCTGGATGGCGTCAGTCTCAAATTTCTCCATGAAAATGTTAGCTATAACTGGAGAAAAGGGGGAGCCCATTGGAGTGCCCTCAGTTTGTTTGTAGAAAGTTCCATTCCAAGTGAAGTATGTATTGGTTAAACAGTGTCTCACCAGGGGGGGTACCTCAGTGTTTAGTCCTTGATGAACCAAGTCTTCAATGATTGCAATGGTGTCAGGTACAGGAACCTTGGTGAATAAGGAAACTACATCAAAACTGACAAGCAGGTCGTCTGGGGACAGGGAAATACCCTTGATTGTCGATACCAGGTGAGTAGAATTTTGTACCGCAGAGGTGGTCTTTCCAGTGAAAGGCCGCAGGATTTCAGACAAAAAACGAGCTAGTTTGTAGGTGGGGGAGCCGATAGTAGAGACTAAGGGACGAAGGGGTGTATCTACTTTATGTATTTTTGGTAAGCCGTATAATCTTGGTGGCCTGGCAGCAGAAGGTTTCAACGAAAACTGTTTAGATTGATCAATTAATGCGGTTGAATCAGAAATTATTTTGTTGGTTTGTGTGACGAGGCTGTTGGTGGGATCTCTTTTTATTTTTGTATAACTACCATCGTCGAGTAATTCTTTAATTTTGTTGTTGTATTCTATTTTATCCATGATGACAGTAGCATTGCCTTTGTCAGCTGAGAGGACTACAATATCAATACTCTTTTTTAATTTATATAATTTAAAACGCTCATCATTGCTGAGGTTGCTAGCATGCATCTTAGCGTTTTTGAGGGTTGCAGCGATTTCAGATCTTGCTACGTCTGCAGCGATGTGACCCAGGCCCCTGAGAGCAACGTCTACTTGGGCAATTATATCATTAAAAGGTATGTGTTTAGGTGTGACTGCAAAGTTTAGACCTTTAGCTAAAACGGATTTCAGACCATCGGAAATAGAACTGTTACTGCGATTAATTACGACTTTGTTAACGTCTAGCTTTTTGGTGTGTGGGTCCGGTCTTTTGTTGAAGAGGAGGTTAAATTTGGAAATCAGGTTTTCCTTACATTTGGTCGACATGCTTATCTGAAACCGGATTCCCACCACCATCCATCACAGAAGAATTATCTCATCAAGACTCTGTATCATAGAGCCCAATGCATATCCGACCAGGAACACATAAGCAGTGAACTCAAGCACGTACACCAAGCTCTTAGGGCTAATGGTTACTCCGACTATACAATCCGCAAAGCTATCACTCAAACCATGAAGAAGAACCCTCTTGAGGAGCCTTTCAAAACCATCACTTTACCCTACATTGCGGGGATCACAAAAAAGATCTCCAAAATCTTGAATAAACACAAGATTCAGGTCCGTTTCAACACATTACATAAAATCCGTGATCTGGTTCCGTCTGTAAAATATGTGATTCCGGACATACAATACCCTGGTGTCTACAAACTAAGTTGCCTCTGTGGTAGTAGTTACATTGGAGAAACCAAACGCCATGTCTCGGACCGCATTCGTGAACACAAAGCAGACCTTAAACACGGTAGGACCAACACCTCGGCCGTTGCAGATCATTGTTATAATTCAGTAGGCTCACATGCCATTGACTTTTCCAAGACAGAGGTTCTTTGTAAGCCATCTGGCTTCCATGAGAGATTCGTTCATGAGGCTATCCACATATACAAGCACAGAGACAATTTCAACCGAGAAGATGGATTCTATCTTAACAATCATTGGAAAGATTTGATAAACCATTTCAGGTCTTAATTGATTGTTCACGCTTACAGTGGCTTTCAGACAGCATACATTATAAAAAATTTCGTCTCCCCCCTCCTCTTTTCAGAATATAGATGGACTAGTCCTAAATAAACTGCCAAATCGTTGCGCGTGGCGCTAACGTTTTTATAAATAAATAAATGCGCCGTTAACACATTTTTTATGCAAACCAACACACCTGAAGATGACCGTTTGAGTTATGGTCGAAACGTCGTGAGAATTTTTTATTGTTTTATATATATTTTATTATTTTGTTGTTTCCCTTCAACGTGACTTTACCGAAAAAACTAAGAATATTAATTACTGCAGTCACCAAAGCTTTAAACCACGTAGTCTCCATTGTTTTCAGAAATCAACGATTTTACAGCCGCCGTGATACTCACAACTCTGCCACCATCACCACTACCGCAGGCCGCAGCAGAGCAGACAAAGGAGAGGCTGAGCGGCAGCTACGACGAGCTCCTGCGCCTCATCTCCGAGGACAAGGAGTCGGCGCTGCGGGCCGTGGACGAGGAGCGCGACCTCAAGCTCTCGGGGATCTGCCGGGAGATTGAGAAGAGTCGGGCAACTCTGGGCGGCCTGACAGAAGCGCTCGGCAGAATCCGCAGCCTGGAGGAGACCGAGGACCCCGTGGAGTTTCTCGAGGTGCTGCCACGCGCGCGAGCTGCAGACAAACTTGCGTCTGGATCAATCAGCCACGTTAGCTGTGTATCTGTGTGTAATGATATTTCGATCTTACGATGGCGATAGCGATATGACAAAATTGTAAAATATTTTTAATTTCGCACGGCAGGCAAACGCAGCAGCGTACGAGGTACGATACTGTAACTTTATCATCGCCATCCTCCTCTTCCGACAACTAAGTTAATGTAGCCATCAACAACCTAACATCGTTCAAGTATGCAGACGACGGACAGAATCTTGGTGAGTACAGTAGAATATAATACGTTAAGATACGTTCAATGCATGTATGATACGTAGCTTTAGCGATTTCATTTTAGAGTTACCACGATACGATACATACGTTCAATGCATGTTAAAAGTTTTTATAGCAGATAGGATTTTTTCCTGAAAAAAACTTTCTATGAAATTGCAGTTCATATAGGTAGGCTAAGAATTTACCTCGTATATAGTTTATACAGTACGGTACTGTAAATTGCTCTGTTTTGCTAAATTATCACCATTCTTTAAAACTCCTGGGTAGACTAGGCCATTTTCGACTTATGATATTTTCGACTTACGATGGGGTCGTCATAATGCATCTCCATCATGAGTCGGGGACTACCTGTATAGTGGAAGCGGTAGTGTAGCGGTTAGCGCGCCGAGTTCTATTCCGAATCATGACCAACACCAGTGACGATTATGTGAACCGGTCCTGGGCCTCCGCTAAGTCCACTCAGCCTCAAATAAGTACCTGGTGTGATATGTAAACATCACCACTCGGGAGACAAAGGCCGTGATGCTGACCACCCACCCTCCCTTGTTTGCCGTGCTTGCCTTCATAGGTGCTCACTAACAGCACTTGCCCTAACAGTCTGTTAAAGGCAATATGGGATATCTTTGTTGTTGTATGTGTGTATGCTCGATATATGTGTGTGCGTCTGTGTTTCCTATATACTCTGCCTGGGTCTATGTGTGCTGTCATAGTTCCATCAGTGAGCTCCTCCAGCAGGCAAGGCAGCGTTGGCTGGGCCATTTATTCTGTATACCCAGTGGAAGGAAGAGGCGGGCACTCTCAGGTCCCATTCGTAAGCTATCGTCTACGCCGTGAAGCGGGAATCTGTGGAGGCCCTCACCCTTTTTACTCTTTTCCTTGCAGCAGTGCTCACAACCGTGAGTGTAAATCTTAGCGCCGATATCTATATACGAACCTGGAGCGACAGCAAGCCATTTAATCTGGCTTGGCTACGTGCTAACACCAAATTGAGAGAACAGTGTGCGTCCAAGAACTTATTTTTCTCCGATGACACGGCCTTAGTTGCTCACAGCCGGAGTGACATTTAAGAAACCGCCAACCATTTTGCTGCATCAGCAAACCAATTTGGGCCAAAGATCAACACAAGTAAGACTGAGATGTTGTTACAACTAATAAAATGGACAAAATATAACCAATGGTCACTCAGAAATCTTTGTCAATGGTGAAGCTGTCAGAGATGTGTGAACTCGTTCACTTACCTGGGAAGCACCGTGTCTAATAACTCTGTAGACACGGAGATCTTATGGTGCCTTGAAGTTGTATCTAAGGCATTCAGTAGCCTTAATAAGCGCTTTTGGTCCCAGCATGGTAACAAATTGTCCACTAAAGTAAAGGTCTAACAGAGCAGTTGGTAATTCCTTCAATGTACTTTACTCTGCAGAAACATTGACACTATACAGACACCTGAACAAACTAATGAGCCTACAGCTGAAACATTTTAAACAAATCGCGAGGAACGAGTGGCAAGACCTGAATTCTGAGCACCGAGGTGCTGGCAAGAGCTGAGATTCCCAGTGTAGATAGGCAAAAGTTACGTGCTTTCGGTTGAGATGGTCAGAGCATGGAACTTGAATATGCCAGATCATATTCTTAAGTTCCTTCCTTATGGTAAACTCGAACATGGCTAAAGTGTGTTCCTGTGGTGGCCAAAAAACTGTGCGCTACAAAGACGTCCTTAAAAGTCACGTCAAGACGGCCAAATATCAATGTTGGGACACGTGGGAGGAAATGTCAGCCAGCGGTAAGTAGTGGAAGATAAGGCTGTAAGCCAACTCGGACAATAGGCTTGAAGAAAACAGGGGGGAAAAAAGCTATCGCCATCAACACCAGCAGCAATCGCACAACACAAATCCCATCAAGTGGACGAACAACTCTTGGCCACAGTGTGGCCGATGCTTCCGCTCTAGGACTGGATTCCCATCCCACCAGCGTGTAGGAAAACCCTACTGCTTAGTTGTTCTCCACAGTCATCATTGTTCAGAGATGAACATCTGAAGTAGAAAAATAAGTTACCCAGCCACCACATGTCCAAGCAGCTTCTTTTTGGCTTGGATAGAGGGGGCTAAACGAGCATGACATGGGCTAGAAAGGAGGTAATGATAACGATGCATGTTTGATGTGTGCCTTGGTGTCTCAGAGCGCTGTACATCACAGTCCACATCAACGGGGCACCCCCAGTGCCCACTGTCTCTGTGGGCACGAGGCGACTCAACACCTGCCTCGTAATGGGCATTTGTTTTCACAATAGGGGGGGTGATTATTGCTTTGCGTGGTCTAGCCGAGGGGCACCAGCAGTGGCAGCTGTCCCTGTGCATTCGTCTGCTGCCAGCAGGGGTAGAGATGATTGCTCTGTTAATCCCAATTGAGTGATTTTTTGGGTTGATTTTTAGATGCGGTACATCTGGGCCCCGACGCCAGGAACACAATGACGTTCTCTTACGTATGACACCCCGGAGATATTTAATATCCCACTGCAGCAGATATAGAATATTGTTGTAGTTATTAAACCCATGGTAATAATCAGAGTGACCACTGCCTTAAAACCATGAACCTCTGCAACAAAGCTGGCGATGTCGCCACCCCCAACATGGAGGCTGATGTGGGATGGGAGCTTATTGGATTTGCTGATGACTGCTAGCAGTGGTCAGGATTCACCACGGCCAGTCACCTCAGTCAGTCAAATCAACACTCTGGGTCTGCCCTGTGACCTCATGTTTGCTGTGTATCTTGTTTCAAAATTAAAACTCCGACTTTTAATACATTTTGCTAGAAAGATGAAGGTGTGTGTATGCATGCATGTCGTGTTTGTCATGTCTGTTTTATCTGCTGAGTGTGTTGTATGTGTACTCTATGTTCGAACTGTGTTCACCTTTTGATGTTAGTTACCTCTTACCAGTGTAGTGACGCAGTTCGGAGACAGTTGTAAATGGAGGCACCTTCCTATTATTCTTGCATACAATGGGGACTACACGCACCCTACGTGGGTGCACACTATATAAACATATATTGTACACACAACCGTCTATTGCCGGCGGCACTATCTAGCTAGAACAGTTGGCAGGCTGTCTAGCTAGCGGCACCCAGTGATGGTGAAGATGGCGGTGAAGATGGCGGCGACGATGGTGGAGAAACAGCAGCAAGGCGAGGGGATCCAGTTCCAGCAGCAGCTCTGAGCTCCCGCTCCGGGCTCCCTCTTATGCTCCCAGCATGACCTTGCTCCGCCCTGGCCACGCCCCCCTTCTGGAACCTACTAGCAGGTTCCTGGGCTTCCAGATGGACCCCTTTATGAACTCTCCCTAAGTTGTCTTGCCCCGTATGTACTGTCGCCTGCTGACGTGTGTACTACCATACACTGCAGGTACCACTTTCGGACTTTCCGTCAGCAGCCAGTGCTATTACTGTACACCACTCTCACACACGCACTGAATTAGACTTTAAGGGGCATGTATCGACACCCCTTGCATTGACGATTTGTGTTGTGTTTTAATTCTTTATTTTACGTTTTGTGTGTCTGTGTCACAGGGCTACACTCTCCAATGGGAAAGGTAGGTCAGTCCACCTCCTCAGTCACGTTCGGATCTCTCCCCATGCAATGGATACTCGTTATTGACCTACACGTGATTTTCAAATTTCTCGTTCTCATCCTCTTTGCTTCGCCATCACCACCATACTCGGTGCTCATCATCTCCCTGCAGCTTCGTGCACCTGGCAAGTGAGCCGATGAAGGAGACACCGTCTCGGGCTTCGCTCGACTTCGAGACGGCAACTCCACTGCAGGAGCGGATAAACGAGCTCCTGAGCGCATTCAGAACCTTCAGAGGCGAGGACCCTACATCAGCAGACCAGCCCAATCCCAAGACTCCTGAAGGGCATATAGCTGAAGTGCAGCGGAGGTCACCTCCAGTTAGTTTGCGGGAGAGGACAGCTCCACATGAAGTTCAAGCAGCTGGAGCGTCTGCACAACCCACAGCCTCTCTGCACGGCCTTAGCAGAGCTGACATCATCATGACAAGTTAGTCACGCTGCGTACACAATGTTGGTGTTAGCTTGGCTCGAGTGAACGGCCAAAACGTTAACTCCAAAAAGAAGATTGTTATTGCAACTTAACCACGAGTCGAAAACCAGCACTGGAAATCAGTAAAAGCTGCGTATTTAACTTGGACTGAATTCAAACCTAAATTAAAGTGAACATGTCAAAAGCTTTCACGACCAATGTGACGATGTATCATTGGTGTTTGGGTGAGACAGCGTAGGTAAAATACATTGTCATTAACCCGTCTCCACCCTACACAGCCAATTATAAAATTGTCACGTGATGAAAATAATACTTGGTAATGTATTACTGCTAGGAGAGCAATCCACAACATCTCACCATTCAGTCTAACGTTTCGCTGGTAATTTTGAAAATAAATAGGCGGTACGCTCTCCTGGAATAATACTATTATTAAACTTTTTCATTTTACTAGGTAAGGCCCACTGAGCTATATAAAGCTCTTTTTCAGAAGCAACTTGGTTATCAAAAATGATAGCCCAATGAGAAATGGCTAATTATGTGGACATTTACAGCAGTATTCAAATACTGTAAACGAGCAATGTTGATTCTAAATGTGGAGGAAAACCCGGAGGACCCGGAGGAAAATCCACCAATCACGGGGAGAGAGGGACATACAAATTCTTAATATATATGCATTAGGGTCAGAATCGAACCTACAATCTCCTCCATATCAGGCGAAAGAGTTACTCTCTCACCACGGAGGTGTTAAGATGTTCAAACAGCAAATAAACACCTATTGCAAGGAATCATCAAGTTTGCATTCACCACATTTCATGATTGTGGTAAAACATGCCAAAAAAACTTGCTCTGATAACACTAATGTATGCTTTACCCTAATGTATGCAGCCTCCTCTATGGCCTTGTCTCACCACCGGTGTTAGACCAATGCCAAAAGGCAAAACAACACAAAGGCAATGCCAATATTAAAGCATTAATAGCTCAGGTTGAGCAGTTTAACCTACGTAAACCTTTGTTACCGGTATCAAAATTATAAAAATAATCGTACTAAATAATAGGCTTTATCATTTCCCGGCAATAATACAGGTGTTAAGATGTTCAAAAACCAAATAGACACACTTGTTGCAAGGAATCAGAGACAATGCGTACATTATCACAGCATGTTTGTTTGCATGTTTTATCACAAGTGTGTGTAGGTTAATGTAGACTTGATACCTTGAGATATTCATTGTCTATTTGGTGCTAGAACATCTTAATACCTCCTGTTTTATTTCCAGAAAGGGTAAAACCTATTCATAGTTTTTTCTTTATCTTGGATACTGGCACAAAAGGTATCCCATGGATATAAGTGCTCGACCCAAGCTATAAGTGATGTGATACTTGCGATGCCTTTGTACTGTTCACCTTTTGGCAATCTCTTGTCTAAGACTCGTGGTGAGACAAGGCCAGAAATAAGGCTGTCTCTGGTGTAGGCCAATCAGTTTAAAAGACAATGCATACTACACTATGTAACACAATTTTTGTTCCTGGGTAGTAAGTGTTATTTCCTAATTGCTTATTCCTAAAAAGTATAGAAAATTGCTATTATTCCCCACAAACTTTGCTTTTGTGACCTGGATATTGAAAGTGTTTAATTTACCTATTTTCAATGATAAAACGGACGAATTTGTGTCTTTTTTGTCAGAAAAAACCCAACATGAATCAAAATTAACATGTATTTATACCAAAGTAATAAAAATGGACTCGGCCTTTATGGGCTGCAGCATGGCCGGGCTCCACCCTTGGCCACGCTCTTTTCCAGATCCTTCCTGAAGACTCTGGCCCCTACATCCCTCTCCCCTCCTTTTGGGCTCCCCTTGCCACCTCGTCCGGTCACGTGCCCTCTCGGGGTCACCCAGACTGTCACGTCCTCACCCGACCTCTCTCTCACTGTCACCAGGACTATGCCCCCTCGGGCTGGCTTCCATGGCATACCCACTCTGGTGCCAGAGAGAGGCCCAAGATACACAGCTCCACTCTTGTGACGATAGCTGGCGCTAAACACCATGATGACTCCATTTACGTCACTACACTAGTGAGCTTCTTGGATAATTCATTGCACTCCAGGATTTTCTTTATCTGTGGTCCAACGAAGACACCAGCTTTGACCTTGCCTCAGACAGCTTAGGGAAGAAGTCTTGAAGGTACATGAAGGCTGCCGACTCCTTTTCTACAGCTCTGACAAATTGTTTCATAAGGCCCAATTTGATGTGCAGTGGTGGCATCAGCACCTTCCGATGCATCCTATAATCTGCGACTTGCACACTTTCATCCAACAAGTTCCACTGGTTGAGCCTAGACGTCAAAAGTTCGGCATTGGACTTGGTGAGACCAAGATCTCTGATCAAGTCGTTGAGGTATTTTTTGGTTGGGGTAGTATGGGTTTCTCTCCTCAGCTCCACCTTTGACATTGTCATCTGGATCTACAACGTCTTCCTCACTCTCTGACTTGCTGCTCTCTTCTAAAGACGGTTGCTCTTTCTCCGGAGGAGTGGGTACGGGGAGCTCATGGCAGTGTGGCACCGGGTTGATGGATGAAGGAAGGTCCGGATATGTGATAGCAGGTGCATTCTTTCCAGTCTGACGTTTGGACGGCCCACCATGCAGAAGTAGCAGTTGCTTGAGTGGTCAATGGGTTCCCGCTAAATTCTTGGGATAGCAAACTTCATGGCTCTCTTTTCCTCTCTGTACCATCCTACAAAAATACATTTATTTCACCCATGACTAATGTGTAAGAGATTCTCGCAACATTTTTAAGAAACGAAATATTTTTTCAATAACATTGAAAATTGTAAAACATTAAAAATTAAAAAACTTTTACAATTTTAGAAATTTTATCAAATTTTATAACATAAAATTCCGATCCAGAATTGTCCATCTTACCTTCCAGAGTTTTTGTTTTTGCATTGCTCGTAGGTGCAATGAGGTGCCCAGGTTTTGTCTTGATCCCCGACAGGCACGCCGAAATATGCCCTGTCGGCCTCACACATCTTAGCAGATGCTTCCACAGAGTACTTTTTCGCTATTGTCTTGATAAATTGGCCGCAGGCATAACAAAATGCGTCTGCCAGATGCTTGCAGCCTCTTGATGCCATCTCAGAAAAATTCAGGTATGTATCTATTTAGGCAGCTGGAACTAAACTGAACTGGTGGGCTTAAGGCCCCTGTATTTATACTACTATTTATATTACTGGAAAGTTCTAAAATCTTCTAGAAGTTACTCCAAGTTTACTCAGCACTGAATATATCTGGAATGTTCTGGAAAATAGGTACATTTCTACATATCTCTGTGCTGGTCACAAAAGCAAAGTTTGTGGGGAATAATAGTCATTTTCTGTACTTTTAGGCAGAAGCAATAAGGAAATAACACTTACTACCCAGGAACAAAATAAAAAAATGTTGCACAGTTACACAATTATTAGAGCATGTTTGTTTTCATGTTTTGCCACAAGTATGTGGTTAATGTAGGCTTTATGCCTTGCAAAATGTATCTAATTGGTGTTTGAACATCTAAACACAACTCCTGTTTTATTGCCAGAGAGGGTAAAACCTATTCTTATTTTAGATCATTATAACACCTATATTATTGCAGGCAAAGGCTAAAGTCTAATAATTTTTTCATGATTTGTTGGTATCGGTGGCAACAAGGGTCTTCCAAAGCTTCTCCAATCATTACAATGAGCATCATCAGGCAGACATTAAAACAATTCCTTCAGTCTCAGACCTTAAATAAGTGGCGTGACACAAACAAACAAACACAGACATTAATAAACAACAACCGCCATCCACCACTAAGTGGTGGTGGCATCACCATGAAGTTTGCACCAATCACCTTGAGGCCACGTGAAGTGTCGAAGGCTCACTGGCATGAGGTCATGGGACAGACCGAGGTGCGAACGGTTGATCGACTGAAATGGTTGGCAGATGCACTACCTGTCTTCTCACTGTGCCAGCTTGCTGTGTTGGGGTCTTTGATGGATGGCTGCCGCCACTATGAAAGTATGGTCGGTGCATCTTACAGGTGACAAGTGGATAGCTAGTAGGAAGATCACTTCCATGGTATGTCCTGGTAAAAAGGACATGGGCCCCTATTAACTGTTCCGTAACTATTTAGTCCAGCAGATGTAATTGCTTGGACCAATGATGTTGTGTGAATGCGCAAATGCAGGTTACGTCCCCCGCATGGACCCGCCCCTCATTAGAAATAATGAACAGGTGACACCCTCCAAATGGACATCCCCCCTCCATTAATAATAATTAGTGGGTGACATCACTCCACATGGGGGGGGGGGGGCGATGCGCGTCCTCCCCCGTTCTCAGCGTCAACTTATAACACACTGCAAAGGCAGAACCGTCACGTCACGCGATTTCCGTAACACTAAGGAGACATAGAAGTAAAAAGGACGTCATGATGAACAAGGGAGTATAACCTTTAAATGAAATAAGTCTGTGTCACCGCGGCCTTACAAATTGCACACGAATGGATGCAATGAATATCACGTCGCAGTCTGCTTTTCGCTTGAAAGTTTCAGATTTACTGCAATACACCCGTTCTTGGATGGGCAAAAAGCTAGTTATCAAAATAAATGGAGTGTCCTTGTTGGCACGCGTGTTCTTCTACTGCTGACAGTTGTATTTGGGAGTATTTAATATTCCTTTTGTGTTCTTTTAGTCTCGTGCTGATCAGACGTCCACCGATATGGTTTCAGTCCTGTCTCAAGGTCTTAACATTTCTGTTGCCCCACGTAAATCCCTGTCGAAGAGATAATTTCTGAAGTGGAATCGGCAATTAGACATCTCCCACATATAATCAAGCTGAAATGACTAGGCATGAGGTTGTTAAAATGAATGAGAACAGTAAACTGTCAAAAACAAATATTAACTTCAGTGAAGCAAAAGTCTTAAGAAAATTGAGAGCAAATAAAGATTTCCAAATTCTTGCTGCTGATGAGGGCCGATCAACTGTTGTGATGCCGAGTGAGGATTACGATAATAAAATCAAAAGATTTACTCGATGAAGGTACCTACCTTGGAACATAAAACAATGTCAATCATTGCCAAGTCATCAATTCCCAAGGAAGAGCAATATCTGATCAAACCAAGGGCATAAAAACCACCAAGTCGTTATGGGCTACCAAACATTCACAAACCTGATGTCCCATTAAAACCCATAGTACAATAGGCTCTTCCACATACAAATTCGCACAATATGTTATGAATTAAAAACAGCCCTACATTGGTAGGACCTCTTCGTTCATCAAAAACTCTGAACATCTTCTAAATATAATTATAATATTAAGCTTAACCCTAATGATATTCTCGTGAGTTTTGATGTGACCTCTGTTCACGAGGATTCCGGTCAACGAGTCAATTAAATCACTCAACACTCTGGGAAAGAACACAGGTTTAGCCAATGATATCCCACTTCGAGCTGAACACTGTCTAAAGAACACCTCTTTCTCGT